AGTTCTTTTCGCGAAAAAAAATATATTTTTTTTGTAGAATAGTCAAAAAGTAAACAATCATCCGTTTTCAACGGAAGTAATTGTAATGTGAATATTCTTTTTGTCAAACCTGAACATGCTGACGATTAAAACATCCAACAAAGGATTATTTAACAATTTTAACCAGTGAAACGTTTCAGATAGAGTTGGTGGACAGACATCTGTAGGATATCATCGTTAGTTTGTAAATGCACTTTGTAAAAAAACCATGCGAAGAATATTCTGGATACAGAAGGATCAGATTCCACGGATCATAACCTTATAAATGGGTTAGTATTTTGTTTTCTAAATAAAACACAGCTTATTGTATGTTTATGACTGGTAGATATCATCACTTGCTTAAAGAATAAAAGAAAAATAGCTTCTAAAGTAGGCCTACAGTACACTTAAAACTTGCAAGGTAATGCCAGTTTAGTTATTACTACTCTTGGTTTATTTTTGATACAGTTAAATTTTGTTGACAAATTCAGATCATCACAGTATTTGTTAGGGGTAATAAAATAAATAACACATGGGTTTGTGTGTAAAATTAAAAATATCACCCCTCTTAAAAATACTGTATTTTCCACGGGATGATATTAACTGTTACCCACAAATCCATTTGTTATTTATATACTGTTACCCACAAAATTATGTGTTATTTATAATATGACAATATTGAGTGACATTTGATATCAATATTTTGCCATCAGTAACGTCTCGGTCTTTCGGGATCATTGATGCCAGCATTATTTAGTAATGGGAATTGAGTACCGCTCAAGCCGGTGCTAGGGGGCGTGAGGGATGTTACACTTATTTATTATCCCTCTTGTTTAGACTCAATCGAACCGAGTCCAAGTCATGTAATTTTGTTGTGATAGATGCTTTCATGGGATCACTTTGTTTCCAGATTTTACTACTAGAAGGACGACATTTCATTTTAACCATTACCTTCTATAAACTTACCTGAACGTACTTATCACTGTGATTTATATATCAATAATAGCTCAATGCCTTTAATGTGCATTTTGACAAATCGCTGCACATTTTTCATTATAGCAGTTTTTGTGTCATAAGAACGAAATATTTAATTCAATAAAACGTTAGTACTTTTGGCGAAATTAAGAAAATACATATGAGACGCACGCTATAGTTTTTAGTAAGTAAATGTAAATTTAAGAAATATAGCCTTGACACACTTTCTAAGAAATCATTTATTACAATATTTACCAATCTGAATTCAAACCCTAATTGTTTTACCAGTTATGAATGAAATAAAAGTGACAGCCTTTTTTTATTAAAAGTACAGGGAACATTTTAATTTAATCTAGGAGGATATACTTTATTACTATTCAAGTTATTCATCTTGGAATTTGACTTTAAAATAATTTGTTTTACCGTCCAGTTTTCATTTTGAAAAAAGTTCAACCCCATCTTCCTGTCATGGGCTGGTATTTTTCTTATCTAGTTATAATGAATTGCAGCTAATTTATATGAATAAATAAATGTAAGAAAACTAAAAGAATATTCATTTATTTTATTTATTGATTTGTGTAGTATGTAAGGAAGAGAATGCACAGAGTCGCTGAACACAAAGTTTTGTAAATGATATACAAGCTGCTAATATTTGTTTCCTATTTTATAGCTGTTTCAAACGAACTTTGTCATCTCAAATGGTTACGTCTTAACCCTTATAGCTGATTTTTTCATTGCAATTAACTTGTCGTAAATCAACAAACGTTTGTTTGCCACCTTGGTAATTTTAAATTTACATATTTTTATGACAAACCTAAATGGAAAATGATTCTGAGCCATCACCTTTGGCCAACCGTTATGATTTTTATTGTGCTTGGATTAGTTTTTGTAGTGCCTTTCTTGGCTTCGTGCCCGATTAGCTGTCTTCCTGGACTTTGTAAGGCTATGCGTCCATTGAATATTGCCCTTCAGGGTTGATCTCTATTCTCATGTTTTTGATTAAGATAACTTACATCTTTACTAGTAAAAGATATTCAACAAGCTTTTCTTTTGAGCTATTCAATGAGATTTTTAGAAATTGAAAGCACGTTTTCGGTCGTCGAAGCTAAAGTTTGAAATGGTTTGTGGTGTTTATGTTACGTCTATTGGTGACAAAATGTATTGTAAATAGCCTTAGATGTACATTTTGATAGATAGAACCACCATAACTCTAGACAGTTTCCCTAGTAGCAGTTCTTAGTACAGGCTATACCACTGAAATATAATAACCTTTGGGGTCATGAATTTGATTTCTTTTTCGCAACCATTGAACAATTCGTCTGTTAATAAAAAGAGTGATGTGACTGACAGCAAATTAATCGTAGCCTTATGTTTAGGTCATGTGATTTAGTTTTATGCAAATGCTAAGGGTGCGTAAACGGATGGCATTAACACTCTCTTTCCCGTCCAGGAACAGGCTAAATTCAAAGGAGTCTGCAACATTTTCTATTGAGACGTTTTGTGCCTTCTATAAGAATTCCATTTTCTTTAATTTGTGTTAGTATTTCGTGCATGGACCAAGTAAGAAAATTTAAAAACATTATTTCATAAAATTATTCTCTTTGGTACGAGTTTTAATAAAAGGCATGGAAATATTCTAATATATTTAAAAAGTCAAATGTTGTAATGTTCTTCGAAATGTTCGGGTTGTTTTTATTTAACATTAGGCGTGCACTGCATGACGTTCTGTTTAACAATTTCTGATCTGATAAACAACTCCATATTTCAATCAGATTTCTTATCATTTGAGGACCAATTTGTATAACCATCAACCTTAAATAAATCAGCTAAGAATCGTCGTTTCTAGAATGAAAATGCTTTATTTTCATGACAAGATACTACCATATAGCATTAATGTTACGAATGTTATTTATGTTATTTATTACTCCCATCCAAATGTATCTGGCTAAATGTTCGGAATTTTTGTGTTGTTTTAAGTTGTTTTCATAACAAATATATCTATACAAGTTCGGATAAAGGGAGACAATGCAGATGGAATTTTCTAATATTGCTATCTACCATGGAGTATTTGAAATATCAAAGAGGCATTATCAGTAAGATGATAAATCGAATCTGATACCTGATAATTAGAGAATAAACCTTTTTGTTAGTGCATATAATTAAAAGTGAAAATTGTACTTAAATAATATTGGATTATGATACAAAAGTAATGGGTTCCTAGATGCGCAATTCATTATTGCATTATTTTTTAATGTGTTAAACTTATATCAATAATATATGCAAAATGTTGTCAATCTTATTTGCAGGAGACTTCAAAGGACACAATCTTTTTTGTTACCGATTTGAAGTGGATTAGATATGTTTCTTTTTCAAATGTCTGACTATTGTAATGGTGATCAATAATTGATAATTACAAATGTTAAGGATAAAATGTAAAACGGCTTAGATATGAAAAAGACTCCCACTTTTGTTACAGGTACATTCTGGAATACATTTTTTGGAATGTCCGTTGGTCACATGGTTTATTGAATTCGTTAGAATAAAAATATTAAAATGTAAACAAATATGGCAAAATGTTAACTCACTGTGACTTTTATCTCTAATATCAGCATTTTCACTTGGATGGGCTTAGTGTCACTTTAAGCCGAAATAGATATAGTCTTTTTTTTCATAAAACGTCCGTATTTGTTCGTTAATTGAAGAACATTCTTTCTAATAGATATGTTTACATATTTATACATGTACATGTATGCCACAATTGTATTAAGGACAATCTTAACGCGCCGTTGCTCTCTATGCTGCAAGTATATTGCATTATTTTCCTCTTCCTGTTTTTCATGAAAGAGTTAAACTTATATTGTTAAATAAACTAATCATGATATATTGAGTAAAGCATATAACAATACTTCTTTTTGGCATTAGAATTATTAAAAATACAACTTGTGTCTATGTTACATTGTATATGTGCATGTATTTATATATAATTTCACACCATTACAAAAAGTATTAAATTACGATCTTTATGCTATAAGTACGTTGCGCACATTTTTATTTGTTACATGCAAATCTAAGATTTCAAATATAAATCTTTTTGTTTATGAAAGTTAATTTGTTAGAACCTGTATATATCCTGGATAATCCTTCGTTTTTTTTTATATGCTTTCGTTTCGTTTTGTTCAGATTATTATGAAAGGTGTAAACATTCTATTTGATCTATTAATCATACTAAATATGTTAGCTATATATATTTTTTCTCTCACTTAATTTTAACTATATATACTATCTTTCTAAGAATGTAATATAGCCGTTTTCCATTATGTATTTGCATATATTTATGCATGTATACTGCTGATGTTTCATACTGCAATTGTTGGACTTTTATGTGCATTTTTGTAATTAAACTGAAGAAAAATATTCATATTCCTTGTTGTGTGATAGACATTATTGAGTGATTGTTTAATATTATTCAGACTTTGGTCTAAGTTGATCAATGCAATATCAAACATGCGTGCAAAAATATACAATATAGTCATATCATGTTAAAAGGAAACTTATTTAGTATGCATAGGCAATAAATGCGTGGTTTTGTGTTATGTAAATAATTTAGATGCCTGTTAAACAGAATCAATTCTGAAATGTAGTTGATATTTTAACGGAAATAATTTGCAACAGGCCATTGGTGACATCAATAAAATACAATAAAATGACATTTGTTAATCCTTAATATTTAAATAGTTTTCAGGTAATGAAAGATATGTTCTGTGTTTGAGAGACTCTTTCAATTGCATGCATTTGGAATTCAATATCTATTATTTAACCATAACATTTCGAGCATACATTATTCACCTGAAAATGACAAGTTATAAAAAACATTTGCGCTTAAAATTGCGAGGGATTAGCCGCAAAAAGTCAATTGATGTTCCTGATTTGCAGAATGTTATATGGTCAGGTTTTGTATGGAATACTGTTGAATTTTTAATTTGAATTGTTGCCATGAATCTACGCTAAACACCGATTCATTGTTAGCTCCAGACATATTCTGTACGTTCAAACATTGTCTAGTGGCATGAGCGTTGCATTTTCTTGGAATTCGTTTTGATCATGATATTTTTTTGTTTTGTTTTTTAATTTATTAAAATGTTTAAAAAAGTTATGAAATGTGAATTGATTTTATTGCTGGCGTTTCAATCAGTTTTTGCTGTAGTAAATGTAACAATAAACAATTTTGAATTAGAGTATTTCGTGACCTACGAAAATTGGTGTAAATCTGACAAAGACAGATTTCAGTTTATTATTGGTATATCTATCGAACAATGTGTGGCAGAGTGTGGTGCACGGGGCCACTGCAGTTCTCTTAACTATAGAAATAAAATCAACGGCTGTGAGCTGTTTCTAACTTCAGAAACGGAGCAATCAAATCTCGGCGAGTGTGTACATGTGAAACAGGACGACATCAAAGTTATAAAGGTAGTTTATGGTCTATTTTTCTTTCTATTTTTTTGTATTCTTATAAAATTCGATAAATTCTTCTTCTTTGTATCTATTTATTCTTTATGAAATTCCAAAACCTGATGATTTTTTTTTTCAATACAGGTTATCAGATTATTATTATTTTTATTTATTATTATTATTATAAAATTATTATTATTATTATTATTTATTATTATTATTATTATTATTATTACATGCATTATTGGGTGATAAAAACTTCACTTTAAAATGTTGTCAAACTTCATGATGAAGCATTTTAAATTTATGTTCTAGTTATCTCAAAAATAAATTGAGCCGCGTCACGACAAAACCAACATAGTGCGTTTGCGACCAGCATGGATCCAGACCAGCCTGCGCATCGGCGCAGTCTGATCAGGATCCATGCTGTTCGCTTACCAACCCTTTTACAAGTCGAGAAACTGATAGCGAACAGCATGGATCCTGATCAGACTGCGCGAATGCGCAGGCTGGTCTGGATCCATGCTGGTCGCAAACCCATTATGTTGGTTTTGTCGTGACACGGCTCAATTATTAACCTTACAAAATTTATATAAATTTATATACTTAAGAGTAATCGTATGTGTCGTTCATTTACATTTTTCAAATGTGCTTGATGGATGTACAAAACACATGCTTTTGAGCTTTCCTGTAACTGTTCGAAATAATTTTAAAGATAAGAAGTGATTCTCTTCGTGTGCTTGATAAAAGGTTTTAGAACTCGTCAACGAGCCTAACAATGTAAATAAACCTTTATAACACAACTTTGATGCTCAAATTAAGATTTGTCAATATAGTTGTAAGTTCCAATAAACATTATTAGTTAAGATATTACCGAATTGAACATTTCATGTAAATAAAGGGAAGTAATTAGAAAATTATTTTCTATAAATCCTAAGTCAAATTTTTCAATAAGAAATGAATGCATATAATTTATTGATTAAATATAATGTGCACAAATATTTGCAGTGCACATTTTACATATTCTTCGATGTTTGAAAATCGTTTTATTTGCATAATTATATACATATATAATTTTTTGCAAGTGTGGTATACACACAGTAACAATATCAATCACAAAACATACAGGATCTTAAAGTGTCACATTATCTGACTTTAGAGTCCTTGTCAAGGACGTTGTGAGCATGGGAAGGTCTGTGAAGCAATTAGTTCCAAAAGTGGAATGTGTAAAATAAAAGGTAAGATTTATCCTACCACGATAAGGATTATTATACAAATATAATTTTCATAGTTTTCGCCCTTAAGCCTTTAATGGTTGAGGATCGTAAGAGGCGTCTTAATTGGTTCGAATTTTTAGTGCATCTCTTAGCTCCAGTACGTTAAGGGGTTTTGATACCTGGCGTTGCTTTAAATTTGTAACTACCGAGGTTAGTTTAAATCATCTTTCCGTTTTCGGCGCCATATAACCTAAATAATGTTGGTGAGCCGTAAAACCAAACCAAATTAAATATCTTGTAAATGAAAATGTTTTTAAAATATTAAAGGGCTTGCGAAAAAGTGTTTTACATTTTTACGCAAATGTGCGATATCTAATAGAATTTAATTTAGAGTTCATAGATTGCATTTATTATGAACAAAATGCGGATAACAACTGTCCGAATGTTGTACTAAATCAAAAACGTGAAAACTTGCGATTGGTAAACCTCAGTTAGATACTTTTATTTCCTCCACACGGGAGAGCATAGTAATTCTAGTATATCAAATGCTAAATGTCGAGATGATCCTTTTGTCATCTTCTCAGTTTGTGCATATATCAACATTAACGAGCAAATAGTGACAACTTGCGTTTTGGAGCATGTGTATTGTGCAAAATTTCTTACTTTGAAGCCAGTCGGTTTATCGTTTAAATTAAATGAATGTTAATATAATTATAATAGTTACGTTATTAATAAATTTTGTGTCATTTTCTTAACTTCTATTCTATTAAAAATTATAAGAATAGAAAAAATGATATTTAATTGTTAAGTTATTAATAAATTAAATGCACAAAACTCCGTTGTTTAGCTAATAATATAAGAAAATGAGTCAGTACAATATATATGTCTTATATTTTTAATTAATAAGCTCTTGTTTTTTATGATTTAAGAGTGTATCAACATAACGGCCCCTGCCAACGGTAAAGTCCTTGGAAATCAAAGGGGCGTTGGAAATAAGATCCGATACATATGTAATCCCGGATACGAACCAAGAAACGGCGTAGAACCTGTAGCTAAATGTCTTTACAACGCGCAATGGAGCCATATAACAGAATGTGTAAAAAGTAAGCATATACATTATAAATACTTTTCCTACAAGTACAAAAATATTCCTAAATTACGCCATGTTATTTTAAAGGTTTTAAAGAAAAATAAAGAATAAAATTTTATATCGTTTCCGTACAGTGTAAAAGGTATGGTCGCTGTATGAGTGTAGTTTGTTTCAGTTTCAATTTATTTATCATTTAATGATTAACCTGGCCGTGCTCTGTCTTTGCCCTGCCCTGATTTTGTTAGGGGTCCGCCTGGGCTCCTTGCCACTGGTTCTTGTTGCTGGATCATATGGGGGTTGCGTTCATTGAACGCCTCCTTTCCTTGTTGATCTTGTTTATCATATTTTGTCCTAGCAAACAATGAAATAACTACTTTGTTTTATACAGTCATGTATTTGCAGGTGCAACAGACCGATTCTGAAAATAAAAGGGACAAAATGTGTTTCTATTGTTTTATCAATATTGAAAACTCTTACGGAAAATGTGCCCATTGTAGACCAATCTACAATCTAAAACGCCGGTTAACTGGATAAATAGTGTAATACATAGCAGTTTATGTATTAAATTTCACACCAGAGGGATTAAATGAAAGAAGAAAAAAAAGAAAAGTTAATTCGAACCATCTTTACACTGGTTAAATCGTCATCTTAGTGCAATTACTGATTAACTCCTAATATATTTATAAAAGGACTTAATCTGTTACTGCACCAAGGTGAAGATAAATGTCTTCACACAGGACATTACATTTAATCAATATAATTATCATTTAGCAACCTATTTTGATTTGGTTTTCTATTGCAACATAATATGTCATGTAAAGTAAATATTTTCATAAACACAGGATGTCTATAGCTTCTTGAAATAGTAAATTTGTATTGGTAAATGAATTTGTTTTGAAGCAATAATATATGAATAACTGTGTGACAAGTGTCAAAACTTGTATTCTATAATCCTTCAGCTGCGCCAACATTTATCAAGAATATAAACCTTGAGAAAAATTTACTAAGATTTTAAACAATTAAAATATTAACAATTAAAGAACCATTTAACATTTTATATGCAATTAATGACTTAATTAATTATTTCATAAATGGTTTTCGCAGTATTGTCACAATATTTTTACAGTATGATTGACGCAGTAATAGCTTTCTTTGCATATTCGTTACCAATGTTTGGTAATTTCTGTAGATTTTAAGTTCCGTTTGAAGCGGGTAAATCACGTTTTCTGGTCACTAGCAAATATTTTACTTAAAGCAATTGTTAACATAAAACATATCATCAAAATACCACGATGTTCAAGCCCACTGAAAACTGGTCTGTAAGCTAGTAATAACCAAAAAACCGGAACTGAACATTTCATTATTTTATATCAAATTGAACATGAATATTAAGAAAATAATGTTTTGTTGCTTTCAACACTGTAATGCTAAAAATACAGAATCAGAATTGTTAAAACAAGTCATATTACTGTTGGCTTTATGTGACTGGGTATTGTTTGGGGGTATGTTTAGCGATTGTCGCCCTCTCTTCTTGATTTTCCTTTCAAATTTCAGAAATAACAAAATATCATAGTGAAAAGAAATTTCTTATGACTTAAGTCTTATGGCACTATGCAGCCTTTGTTAAACTCATTCCAGAAACAACGCATGTCACAAAAGAGAGAACATTATTATGTCAGAATCTTGCATTTACGTTTTTAAATTGCATATTTATTTAGAACTTAATACATTGAAGATTTTTGAATTTACATATTAATCAATCCGATTTAGTTGCTGATTTTATTCACAAATACTTGGACGTTGGCTTTCAGCTAATTATACTTGGGCCACGTGGTCACCATGGAGCACATGTAGCGAAAGTTGTGATTCGGGAACTCAAAAAAGATCGAGAGAGTGCTCTATTCGTATAGAAGGCAATGGGGAATCGACTTGTGATCAATCGAATGTGCAAAATGAGGAAACACAACCATGTTATATGCGACCATGTCCCAGTAAGTAATATATGGTTGCAATATTGCTACTTGAACACTGCATCACCGCCTTTAGGATATGGTGCCTACTTCTGGAGAATTTTAAGTTTGTTTTGTCCTTTTTTCTTCTAGTTTTAGTTTTGCACATTATACGTATCTAACTTGGCTTGTAATACCATGCATCGCTTATCTTCAAATGGCACAAAAATGTCAAATTCTCGTTTGAAATCATTTGCAGGTGTTACTAAAAACCATGCTTATTTCTTTGACAGGCAGTGCTTTTGATTTGCACGAATGATTGCATTTGACATTGCCTATTAAGAACAGGTATTTCTGCATCTGATAATCTTTGAAGCTTCCATTATTTACTACATGTATATGTTTATGGCAATATATGAATTTCGTCTATATTTCAAAGTTGTTATATAATTGTTATTTTTCAAAAGGTTTCTTTTTAAAGTAACATTAAATAAACATGTAAAACTATTTTATTTTGCCTTCTGCCTTAAAACCAAGCATTCTACAGTTTCATAAACCTTTTTAACAGTATTGTTGTACATTTCATCAAAAATATTCATAAATTACGAATTTTAACGGAAAACCCCACGGTAACACTAAAGTCCGTATACGAATTTTAACATGCAAATGAAGACTATAATCAGCTCGTGTATGCACTACGTCACAATATTACAGTTGTTATCCTGAATACAGCAAATATGAGATTTTCATGTGCAAACACACTTAAACCGTTTTAGCTTCACGGTACATTAGGCATGGCGTTCAGAAGAAAATAATCATACCCTAAAAAATTAAACAAATTAAATTTGAACGAAAACATCCGTTACAAATGCGGAAATATACTGTTAACTTTGGACTGCTACTTATAGTCATGGTTGTTGATTTAATATTGATGAACGGATGATCCGAAGTGCAAACAGAAATTGAATTTCCGATTTCGCCGCAATGAGGTTGAAGATTTTTATGCTTATAAAACTCATTTTGGTTGTCTGGACACCAAAATAAGATCTGGAGTCGAATTTATTAATGAAATGTCGCTATTTCTGTTTTTCGAAAGATAAATTAAATGTAGCGTAAAGGTTCTGAAATTTGTAACAGAGGTGTGGAATTTCATACAAGGAGATGCAACTTTATTAATCACTTCATCTATTGAATATGTCTGATTTATTTTTAAACTAAACTGTATTTATTTTTAGCACATGGGAAGAATTGCTCAAGTCATACAGACTGTAAAGAAACAGAGGGTGTGTGCATACAAGGAACATGTTTCTGTCATCAGCTATATGCATATAACAACTCGACTAAAAACTGCACAAAAGGTAACGCACATGTGTTTTCCAGACAGTAATCAAAGTACTGAAATAGTCATATTGTGTTAGTTTAAAGGCACATTATGCATCAGAAATTTTTTTTCAATCCTTTAGAAATGTAAAAACATGCGTTTAGACTAGTAATGTTTTTATAATGGTATAAAATTGTAATAGATGTTAAATAACTAATAAAAGTAGCACTGAACATGCAGTAATGTGCTGTAAAGGTAGCAAAATGTAAACGAAGTAGTAATTTGACTTCCATACAAACAATAAATCACTATAATTATACCAATTACCAACATATCAAAAGTGCTAGAAGATATTTCATGAATATGTCCTTTACGGTTTTTTGTTTGTTTTTTTTTTCTTGCAGTATAAGGTTAAGCACTTCCCAGAGTACCCTTGACATTTTTGAAAAAAAATCCTGAGGTATTAATTGGTATTTAATATATCAATCTTATTATTGAATCGGGTTAATACGTCAAAAGGATTTTGCATATAAATTATTTCACTGTGATGAAAATAAATAAAATACTTGATTTCAAGTGTGCTAAATTTTTAAAGCTGAATCAGATATATTTTATTACTTATTAAAGTTTAAGCTTTCTGCTATGATCAAACTAAAAAAGAATGACATATGTTAAAACATGAGTATATGATTTAAATTTCAGTTTGCCCAACACTTTCAGACAATTATACTATATTCGAAGGAAAAGCGATTATCGGTTTTAACATAGGTGATAAGACGAAATATGGGAGCCTGGAAGAATGTAAGAAAGCCTGTACCGAAAACCCTCAATGTTTATCCTTCGAATTATTGCGAGGATCAGAGGACGTATACTGCACAACAGGATCAGTAACATATGATATGATGAATTCAGTTGATCCCACAAATATCAAAAATCGTAACTATGATCTGTATTCCAAAACATGCTCCTGACTTTCACGTATAGATATAGTGAAAAAATTAAATCTGAAAAAAGGTATCAAAAATGAAAAAAATTTTTTTGTTTGAAATTTAACTTACTGTAAAACAAATACCTTGTATTTAGTTATAGGTTACTCATATATCAATTTAAATGATTGCATACACATTTAAAATGGATAGGACAAAATCAATGAACAACCATTGACTTATTGCTTAATTTTAAGAAATGCATAATTTATATTGTTTTATATGTTTTTAACATAAAATGCCTGACGTATACACACACCTATTTGCATATAGCTTTGATTCTCAAAATATCTGATTACAAACAAATTGTGTGAGATAAAATGCTTCGTTGCATAATTATTATGTTAATGTATCTGACACAGTTTTATTTAATTTTATTAAATTAAATTTATTCATGAGATGTAATAAAAACTGCAGTACCATGTTTTTATCTATGAAAATGTATACATGTATCGTTTATCATTTTGATCCAATAATGAATGCCTTATAGCCCTTACGAAATGAGTAAATTTATAATTGTGAAAACATCAATATGCAATTACCTGCATTTTATGTATGAAACAGAACATTTTCATTTAAAAAATGCAAAATCATATTTTCATGTAATCAAAGTAGAGTGTTCAATTTGTAAAAGATTAACGGGAGTGTCCGTGGCCGAGTGGTCATAGTCGTTGACTTCAAACCACTTGCTCCTCACCGCTATGGGTTCGAATCCCGACAGGGACTTCGTATTCTTTCATGTGAGAAAGCTATCCAGCTAGCTTACGGAACGTTGTTGATTCACTCAGGTGTCCGTTTGTGCCTGAAATAATGCTGAAACAGCAAAGCTAGAACAGAACAGAACTTTTATTTCTTTGATTTGTACATAGTACATAATTCTATACATCATATAGTTTCAGAGTAACAAATACATTTCAGTGCGATCAATCAATGCAATAATTGAAAAGAAAAAAAAAACAAAAGAAAAAACAACAATAAAAAAACAACAAAAACATTAATGCTAGTATTCAAACGTATTGTGTTATTAAAGAATGACGCTATATGACCTATACTGTAAATGTGTTTATCACCTTTTCAGTATGTTCCTCATAAAGGTTTCATTTTGTTTTGCAACATTTTTTACTGTTTGTTTAAGGGTACAGACTCAGTCAAAAATCTAGAAACAAAGTCATCCCTCGGAAGCATTAATCACAATAAAATTACAGACACTGAAAATTGCAGACTCGCTTTGATTGAGTACATGAGGGATAATGAATAAGTGCAACATCCATCACGCCGCCTAGCACCGGCTTGAGCGGTACTCAATTCTCAACACTTAATAATGTTCGCATCAATTATCCTGAAGGACCAGAAAAATAAAACAACACTGAAGTAAAGTACGGGGCATCATTGTACAGCTACCACACAGCACTTGACACCTGCTGTAAAACGAGTCTGCAATTTTCATGTAATTTTGTTGTGATTAATGCTCTCGAGGGATAACACTTTATCAAGATTTTCATCCTTGTGCAAAGGAGGAGAAACATTCAATGATGAAAGTATAGTTACCTGTAAAACTAGAAAAAAAAACAACATAAAACAGTTCAAGAATTTACGAGAAACAAAACTTGCATAAATGAACCTGCAGAACATACGATATATTTCGAAATAAGAAATATAGGTAACTGGAAATCTCTGAAAAGAGTTTGCTTTAATCAAATTTATTCATTAAATGTAATAAAACCTGCAGTAAAAATGTGTCTGTGTATCACAATGTATGCATTTGCTTGTTTATCATTTTGATCCCACAATGAATGCCGTAAATTTATACTTAATTGTGAAAATATCGATATGCAATTACGGAATTTCATGTGTAAAACATAAAATGTTCATTTAAATTTAATTTCATGTAATCAAATAGGAATATTGATATTTGTAAATAATTTATATGAAACTAAATATGCGTTTGTTCAAAATATTTCAACATTTTATAATTTTCACTGTACAGCAAAGTGTCGTATTCAATCTTAAATGAAAGTATCAATGATTTTACTCACTGAATTTGGAAGAGGCCGCCTTAGCCTCTTGAATCGTCGCTAAAATTGCTGATTTAGAAATTAAAAAAGCTGATGTAAAATAGAGAAAATAAGAACCCCAAAAGAAAGCCCAAGACGGCAAACTTGAAAATGTTGCAGGCTCGGTTTGATTGAGCCTGTCCACGCTCCCTAGCACCGGCTTAAGCAGAATTCAAAGTTCAGATTTTTGGAAAAACTGCATGATTTTAAAGAAAGTTTCCATTGGAAACAAGCCTTTAATATGCCTCTGTTACATAAGGAGAAAAATCACTGAGTATAGTTTAATTACAAGACAAGTACTTTTTATGAAACCAAAAAAAATCGTACAAGACAAGTTCTTTTATGAATTTTCAATAACAAAAACCCAAAGGAAACAAAAAAAAAACAACAACAAAAAAACATTAAACGGAAGCCGTGATGTTTTTGGTTGGCAATCAAATAATAAAGGTTACTGACGATAAGAATTGAATATTTAAGTGAAGTTTTTTTAAACGTAAAGCAATTTAGTTTTATGCGCTTGTTTTCCAATCTGTATATATGATGTTGTAAAACTATTTGTACATGCTTGTAGATTTTATTGTTGACAATTCCGAAGAAATACTTGTTTTTGTTAGCATAATATTCACTATAATGTTTCTTGTTTTGTCAACCTAGCATATTTTCTATTGTGCTCGTAATCCGATAACGGTCGCGGTCGATGGATGCAATGAAAGATATAATATTGTCATGTGCTTTAGAAACTATTTCAATTACAAGTATGTGAATTCAAAACTAAATTTATTGATTATCAAAAGTTTGGCATCAATTATTCAGCTGAAATAACATTTTAACAAAAACGTATTTGCGCATTTTACTGTAGTAATGTTTTATTCATGAAAAATTCTGGGTAAGCGGCAAAACATTTATTGTACTGGAATGTATGAATGCATGTATCGGCATTTTCATGTTTTGTTCTTAATCTTAGATTTATTTTAGATTTAGATTTATTTTATGGTCTTCACTGTAGTTTCATTTTGTTAAGTGTTATGCATATTTTATTGTTTGGTTATGTATACTGTTCTGTCAAACATATTTTTAGGGTCACAGTATTAGGCTTGCAGTTTAGATATGTTGGTGTTTTGAGTATATGTCTTTCATATTTCTATAACTTTAATGTGTATGTTTATATTTTGAAATTTAAAATTCTGCCTATATAAAAATTTAATATTTTCTAGCTTGTTTTACTTTTCCTCACATTTGAGATAAATGAAGTTTACTTTCAGTAGAATGTGTAGTTTTATGTATTAAATAAATAAATAAGAAAATGTTTTGTGTGTGTTTGTTATTGAATGCTATAAGAAACTTACATTGCTCCATAGAACACTTTAGAGTTAAAAGGTGCGAGGTCTTTTAAAGAAGATATTTGTTGAAAATAAACAGATATGTATAATTTAGGCTCCATATAACACTTTAGGGTAAACAGGTGCCAGGGTTCTAAACAAACTGATTTACCATTACCAGCACAGCAAAATGGCTCAGTTTGTATTCCCCATAATTACATTTTTATCCTTAAACTGCTAAACATATTTGGTAAACTTGGTCAATGCAGATCAAGGTCAGTCTTCATATCAATTTTGTCATATCCTAGTCTGCACTGTTCCTTGGGCAGCAATATTTGTCTATCCATTTATTGAGGATCAATGGTACTACTATTCAAAGTGCAAAGTCCAAGTCAGTTACAGCCAACAGTTTACAGTTCAATTTGATGTTTTGTTGTTTATTCAGTTCAAGATGAAGTTAACACTGACACTAATAAGTGCACATTAGTTAATATTTAAAATATATTTTGGCGTCACCTTTAATGCTTTGCATCAACGCTTTTCATGTGATAAAAAGAACTGTATTTGTTTTTTAATTGAGTTAGCTTGATCCAACTTTTTGTGAAGTTAGCTCAGACAAATGGGATAGATATGGTGGCGAATTTTTGCCATTCGTGTTTTCGCCCCGCGACCCCGCCAATCGAAAAGTCGAAAATTAACAAGTTAAAATGTCGGGGGCGCGGAGCGAACACACGCTAATTATCGAGGGCGCGGGTGAAATTTAATAAAATAGAACTTCGCCAACATAGATAGGTCTTTATTCAACTTAGTCTATATGCATACTTGAGGACCTTAAAGATACCAACCTCTTATCATCCCTAAGCCTTTTCTTCCCAAAAGTATGAGTACACTTTTCTAACAAAAAAATGTAATTGTTTTGTTCTGATTGTTTTTAACCTAAAGAAAACAGTTATATTTACTAATTCAACTGTAAAACGATTGATAAACTGGATTGAGAAAGTATTTTGTTATAATGTGTTAAAAGATAAATACTGAATGAAATGTACAAAATTCAGTCTTTACATCACAATGACTCATCTCTGTTTGGTTTCACTTTTATAGTTACTAATTATTTGTTTCTGAATAGATAACAAACTTTTTATTCTTATCCACGTTCTTACACAAAACTAGGTAACTATGCTATAATAATACCTTAAGAAATCGATTGGTTGTTCGTCTGCGACTAGCATGCACTACTATATTTTTTTTCAAATGAAATATTTTACTAAAAGTCTTTAAAGCTTATTAGATACCAAAGAAAAGATTTATAAGGAAATGTATAGAGACCTAAAAACAACATTCATTTATTTTCATTGAACACCAATGAACAAAGCTCCCGATTATGAAATCAGTTCGTGTTGTTATGTTATGGTGATTATTCTTTTTTTGGCTATGGTGAAACCCGTATACGACATGTATACTTGACCATTTATGCATCACCACAACCAAATTAAACATTTGTAGACTTAAGATCTCGCGAACACAAACATTTCTTCGGATTTTATAATATTCATGACTAAGATGTTTTTCAAAGAACTTTTTAGCAATAAA